GTTCCCCGTACGGGCCACCATTTGTCGCGAGCCTCAGCTCTGTCCAGCAGAGCCGAGGAAAGACGACACAGACACCAAGGTGGGGTTCAAGCTTCTGTTTCTCTTTCATCCTTTATTCTCTCTTATTCTCTCTCACGTTCTCTTCACTATGATGCTGTCTCTCACTATGATGCTGTAGTCGTTGTTCTCTTCTATTACATACCTAGCTGTTTATATAGCATTTCCAACAGCCCTTCCCCCAGGCCGGTACCAATCAGGGCACACACACGTGCAGCGGGCAGGCAGAGTGGCTCATTAGGCTCATAGCAAGATCATCAGGCTGGCAGCACCTGTTTGGCCTCTCCATACTTTGGAGTAAACAAGCGGGATTCACGAGCCTTGGCAAACAGCCAAGAGTTGAAGTAAACAGCACGAGGTTTGGCAGCCAGCCAGGGCTCCATCTTTGGCTGGCTCGGCTGTGCTCGCTTCCCACACTTGACCTCTCAGCAGAGTTAGGTATGAATGTAAGCTACACTTAAGAACAGGGGTTGGAGACATGGTTAACAAGTGGTTAAGAGTGCTTTCTGTTCAGTTCCCAGCACCCATACCAGGCAACCCGACACTATCTCTTCTGGCCTTCGTGGGCATCTACACATTTGTAGCATACACACACAGAGACACACAAGCATACAGGAATAAAAATGAAATAAAATATACCTAAGTCTGGCCTCTTAATACTCATCATAGAAATGAGGCTATAACCGTGAGCATCACATCCTCCTCTGTCCATTCCACACCACCTCCCCATCACAGTGCTTCCTCAAATAGGCTGAATGGAGGACCAGCTGAGTGAGTGGCATGTGAATGAAAGTGAGCTCCTGACTGTGAACTCAAAGTCCTGGTCCCAGGAGACTGTGGTTTCATGAGAAGCCAAATGAAAGAGCCAGAAACCATTGACACAGTGCAGGATGCATTGACTTACATATGGGTCCATATGGGGGACCCAGAGGATGGACACCCAGGCCAGACTGTGAGGAGGCCTGTCTTCGTTTGCCTTCAATTGCTGTGACAAAACACTCTGACCAGTACCAACTTGGGGAGGAAAGGATTTATTTGTCTCACAGTCCATCATCTGGGGAAGCCAAGGCAGGAACCTGGAGCACAGACCATGGAGGAACGCTGCTTACTGGCTTGCTTCCCAGGCCTGTGCTCAGATGGCTTTCTTATACAACACAGGCCCACCTGCCCAGGGGTGGCACCACCCACAGTGGGCTGAGGCTCCTATAGCACTCAATAATCAAGAAAATGCCCCACAGACATGACCACAGGTCAGTCCAATGAAGATAATTCTCCATATGAGACTCCATCAACTCTGGTGTGTCAAGTTGGCAACTAAAGCTGTCCAGCACAGGGCCTCTGGAGTGCTCTAAGAGATGTGGCATGGGAGCTCAGTCAGCGTCAAGGTACATAGGCAGATAAAGGTGACAGGAATCAGGAAGAAGTTATGTCAGGTAGAAATGGGACCTTGAAAACAGAAATGGTGGATGCATGTACTTACTGACAGGAGGAATTTAACCCTTTCCAATTCTGTTAAGTGTTATGACACACAAGGGTCAGCAAGCGTACTAACATCTAAGGACTAACACTAGCCTCCAGTATGAAAATCAGCCTTGCATGCTGCATGAAACGCATATGTGGCATTTCATCAAATCCTTACCATAAAGTACAGATACACGTACACTCCTACAAAGCAGAGGTCCACACATTAAAGAAATGTCCAGCCGTACAAGGCAGTTTTTCTCTACTGGAAAGTCCTATTCATTTCTCAGATTATTCTGGAAGCCACACCTGGGACCCCAGAACCACCTCAAATCATTGCATTCAAGGACAGTGGTTGCATCAAAAGACCCAGATTCTGCCTCCTTTTTAGCCTTGAGTTTGCTGGTCTCTCTCCTCCATGTGCTTCGTTCTGTAAAGCTGGCTTGTTCTCTGGGCATGGCTCTCTGGACCCTTGTTCCCATAGCTTCCTTGCATGGAGAAGAAAGGTTGTGGAGTTGAAGTTTTAACTGCAGAGAATATTGACGTGTGGCCTGGTTTATTGGATGCTCGCACAGTAATGTTGGGAGCTGCATTTAAGGAATAGGAGGTACCCCTGGAGCAGTAGACAGCAGCCTGGATGGACGGTCCATGCTGGTCACTGCCCACAGTGGCATCCCCTCTTGGCCAGGCACTGCAGGTAAAGGCAGCAGTGGGCAGCTTTTGGGAGCAGCTGTCTGTTCAGGGGTGGCTGCCTCGTTGGCGCTGGTTTTGTTAAACATTGCAAACATGAGAAACTTGTGACTCTCTACGGGGCAGGGTTAGTATTTCTCTTTAGAAGAGGTGCCAAGGGGCCAAGAGTTTGGATAACTTGCCCAAGGTCCTGTGCCTAAACAGTACAAATAGGGCTCAACCCTTCCTTCATTGAGCTCTAGTCCCTCTGCTGTTTTCTTTTGCCGGAACCTGGATCCAGGTGGCCCAGGATTGCACCTTTGGCTGTCTTATGTTTCCTATTTTGTGAGATTCTGAAGATCTACTTACCCTAAATATGAGAGTTAATTGTCCCAGCTAGCACTGAGACTGGCTGGGGCAGAGGGATTAGTGGAGAGGGAATCATAACTTTACTTTGTGGAGAGAAATGTCGCGTTCCTCTGAACACTGTGACGACGCAGTCCTGTTCTTTGCTCCCTGCATTCTGGGGTCGTGGGAACTCTGCTCAGTTCCACGTTGCAGCATGGTGTCTGTCCTCTTCTTCCCCAGCACCTGCACCCCCAATGCTCATTGAAGATGTCCACAGATGAGGTCCTAGGGTCCTATGTTTGACGTCATGAGTATGTTCAGTGGGGGCAACTGTAGATCAGTAGCAGGAATCATGATGCAAAATGCAGAATGAGTTTGCATTTCCAGTATGCTATCCACATCTGGAACCTCGGAGTTGTGGAAGAAACTGGGAGATCAGATACACTCTGTGGGTTGAGATGCCCCCTGTGCTGCTAAGTGGACATGAAGCTACTGGAGACTAAGCAGAAAGATGGGGATGGGTTGGTTGTCTTGGTGACCATGCTCCCTTCTCTCCAACTGTCCCTGACCTAATTGCCGATTTTATTTTATCTTGCAGGGAGAAGAAGGCAAACAGGGCAGAGATGGAAAGCCAGGTCCCCCAGGAGAACCAGTAAGAGGCTCTACACTTTTCTGCATGCCAAATTCGTTTCTCAGCTACAGCTCCTCTGGTCCTGTGATTCAGACACACAGGCATGGTTACAGCTCATGCACCACGTCCCTTTCTTCTAATAGCCTTGCATGGGAAACACGCTGCCCTACTCTGTGGCTGAGGGAACTATGTCTCAGGGAGGTAAGTAGTCCATTCCAAAGTCACATAACGGACTCGTGACAGCCCAGGAGTCTGAGTCCAGGGCTCTTGCCCTTCTCTCTACACTGTTTTATTGCCCATGTGGCTGGCCCTGTGGATATGGAAGAGGACAGCCATAGTGAGCCGGCCTCAAGTAGAAACCTGATTTCTGAAAGATTCTCACGCTGGCCAGCTGAGCTGCAACCAGCTCCTGGTCTCGAGAGTTGCCTACAGATCCATTCTGAAATCTAGCCCATAGGTATTTGTTGTTGCTTTGAGTTTTCTTTACTGACATCTGTCCAGAGACCCTAGTAAAGTTGCAGACCCAGTGATCCAGAAGATGTTTTTCTGGCCCCATAGCTACCCACTGGGAGGTGCAAACGTTTCACAATACCCTTATCTGTGACCTCAAAGCTATTTGGGGATTTGTCTTTCCTGTGTTCAAGGCTCTGTCGTGATGACGATGGCACTCAAATTTCTGTCAGTACTTTTGTCTTCACAAGTTCAGTGCTGGGGCATCTCAGTTAGCAGAATGCTGTCCTAGCATGCACAAGGCCTTGGGTTCCATCCCCAGTACTGCAAAGAAAAATAAAACCATATAAAATAAAATAATTTTTAAAAAACTCTGCTATGTGGCAGTGAAGATGAAGGGCTGCTTGGGTCGGGAGAGACCTGGCTTTCCCCCATGCCCTCTTAAAGCCTGAGTACATGGCAGGACACGCAAATTCTGGAACGCTCTCCAGCTCCGAGAAAGGAAAGTCTCTGTGGGACCTGACCTGGGACTTCCCCAGGGTGCTGTGCTCCAGGGAAAGGCAGGGAAGTGGAGCAGTGGGTACAGCTTGACCCATTTTATGTAAAAATAGGAATCTGTATATTCTCCTGGATTTTAGAGGCGCTCTAGACGCCATAGAGGACACCAGTGGAGGCAGAGTCCGGCCATGGAAGGATTGCCTGAAGGGAAGGCAACTTTGTACTCCATGGTGTTTCAGTTATGGCTCTTTTGAGAATGGTTACATATATTTATTTGTATATGTCCACAAGCATGTGCCTGGGTAGTGCACTTATAAAAGTCAGGGGTCAACTTGCAGAAGTCAGTTCTCTGCTTCCATCATGTGGGTCCTGGGGACAAAACTCAGGGCAGCAGACTTGGCAGGAAGCATCTTTGCCTCTCAGCAGTCCTTACTGCTCTACCGTTCTCTTTTAAATTTTATTTAGTTTAACTTTTTTAAAGATGTATTCACTGCTTATGTGTATGTGTGTGCCTGCATGTGTTTACGTGCACCACACACGTGCAGGTGCCCATCAAGGCTGGAAGAGGATGTCAGTTACAGGTGGTTGTGAGCTGCCTGCCATGGGTGTCAGGGGCCAAATCTGATTCCTTTGAAGGAGCAGCCAGTTCTAACTGCTGAACCATCTCCTCAGCCCCCTTTTAATTTTAAACCATGTTTGTGTGTTCTAGTTTCTTTTCAATTGCTCTGACAAAACACTCTGACCAATACCAACTTGGGGAGAAAAGGGTTTATTTCATCCTACAACTCCCGGGTCACAGCTCACCAGGGAGCCCAAGGTAGGAACTCAGGGCAGGAACCTGGAGGCAGGAGCTGGAGCACAGGCCATAGGGGAACGCTGCTTACTGGCTTGCTCCCCAGCCCCTGCTCAGCCTGCTTTCTTATACAGTACAGAACCACCACCCACAGTGGCCTGGGCCCTCCCACATCACTCAATAATCAAGAAGATGCCCCACAGACATGGCTACAGGCCAGTCCAAAGGAGGCAATTCCCCAACTGAGGCTCCCTCAACCCAGGTGTGTCAAGTTGACACTAAAGCTATCCAGCGCAATATGATGTTAATAGAATTGAGTTTAAAATACAGCAAACGAGATTATGTTATGGTACAATGCCAGCAGTGATGACAGTAACAGTGGCTTTGGATGCTGGCTGTGTGACCTGGAAGCTCTGAGCTTCACTCCCCCTCCAGGGGATGGAGGGTAATATGCTAACTTGCCAGGGCTGTGGAGGGTCAAACGAGGCAAAGAATGTCCAATACTCCAGGCTTATCTAACTCTTAATTATTTTAGTGAGGTTTGCTTTGTAAGTGCCCTACTTTAACTCCTGGTGAGGTCAAAACTGTGGAGCCTTTACAGCCACTAAGTGGAATTACATAAAAGTTTTTCTAGTGAGGCTCCTGTTCTGTTTAATTTGCTTGGTCATAAACTATTATGACTCATTTGGAATCTTACACGGCTTGCCCGAGGCACTTTCTTTGTTATTTTACACTGTCAGCTGTAACAGCCAATGTTCACTGTTGAGGGAAAAGAAAACTTTTCCAGGGAGAACAAAGTGGGATGCTTTGTGGAGCTGCCCATGGGGGTACATGGCAGTCTGAGGGTGAGGGGTCGATGAGTGGACTACACGGGTGATATTGTACAAGTCTGTCCTGGAACATGTGGGGCCTTGCCAGTGTAGACCCCAGAAAAGCCTAGGGTTATGGGTGTTCCTATTGTCCCCAAATGAGGAACCTGGGATACACAGAGGCTAACAGGTGGGCCAAGGTCTTTGTGAGTGGAGAAGTCTCCAGGATTCATAGCTCTGGAGCTGACCCAGAGCTCAGAACTCACAGCTCAGAGCTCAGAGCTCAGAACAGGGATCCACCTTTGTGCTGAAGGAGCATTGACCTGAGAGGCTGTCCCTAGGGTACAAGCCCACTAGTTTTCCTTCCATTGGATTATCGAATGCCTGCACCAGGGACTGGCATTGTTGGTTCAGGAGGAGTCTTATAAGAAAAGCTCACTCAGGAGACAGCTGGTTCTCATGGACCAGGTCAAACTCAGTGGCTCCGCAGGACTGGTGACACCCTGAGGCCCTGATGTGTCCATGCCCAAGTCCTCGCTCTGGCTTGTTCTGGATTTTCACCTCAGTCACCCTGAAAGCTTATGACTCTGAGCTGCTGGGAGAAAGTTGACATAGGATGGGTGGAATCTGGGGTTGTCCCCTGAGATCTCAGAGATTAGGATTCCAGGAGGGCACCTTACAAAGTGAAGCACCCACAGGATGAGGCACCAAATGTACCCTGGGGGGAGGTCATGAAACACAAGCCTGTGAGTGGCACCTCCAAGGACAGCTGGGGTCCAGGATCTCTGGCGTTCCCTGAGAAGCTCTGACTATACAGAGATTATATCTGCAGTCCCCATTTCTGCAGATGCCTGTCTGGCTGAGGTCTAGAGAATCACAGACTCTGCTGTGGCAACTCCACTTTGGCCTGTTCTTATGTGAGGGGCACAATGGAGAAACAGGCAGGTAGACACAGAGGAGATAGGCGACAGACTGGACAGAGGGAAGAACAGGTGGGTAGATAGGCAACATTTTGAACTGCTTGTTGCTTAATTTTTTAAACAAGACATAGTTGATATTGGCTAGGATAAAGTGCAGAGTGTCACTTAGAGCCCCAATTACAGCCCTGCTTGTGTGTCCTCTAGCAGATGACGTAACTTCTCTGAGCCCTGTGTTTTTCCTAAGGGATAACCAGTGTGGCCTCACTGGGTTTCTGTGAAGAGTCCTTATTGTTCAAAGCGCTCTAGTCACGCCTAGTGACTGCTAGCTTCTGTCAGGTTTCTGCTGGTAACTTGGCCAGTGGTCACCCTTGCCTTTGCTGATGGGGACAGGACCAAAACCTGCAAGGGGAGAAATCCCAGATTTATAACTGCAAAATCAGGTATAGGGTAGAAATGGCAGCGAGCATCACACAGCTGGACTTGAGCAGGATGGGGCAGAAGCAACAGGCAAAGACCTGTGGGCAGCAGCACTTCCGGCTCCTGTCTGAAATCTCCTTCTAACCCCAAGGATGGCCCTCTCCCTCTTTCTTTTCTGGTCTGGATGGACCCCATGTGATCAGCAAGGTTTACTCTGTATGAAAATGAGGCCAACTGCGTGTTTAAGGAAGGTCGTGTCCTCGGGGTACAATGAGGAAAGATCCAGAACACTGGCCTAGCTGCCCATCAACCGATGCTTCCTCTGCAGCACCCCCTCCCCCACCTCCGGCCCTTTGGTCTGAACCTCACCTGCTTTTGTTCATTGTTTGGTTCTGTCCAGAGCAATGCCGGGGACTCTCTGGTGCAGCAAGAGAGTCCTTGCCCTCCTTTGTGAGTTGGGGACATGGGGGTGAGGAAGGGAACTGTGGGGACTGGACCACCCACCACCTCAGCACAGCCTCTGCCCCTGTGGCCTGAAGCAGGCTGTTCCCTCTAGAAGTGTGGTAACCATCAAACTGCTCCACTCTTCAGTGAACTGCAACCATTCCTAGTTGCCTTGAGATGTCTTTGTGAATCAAGTCATTTAGAATGAAGATGCTCATACTTTTTCTTTAGGCTGGAACACTGTGAACTGGTAATCTGGGGATAAGGCCTGAGCCAACGTCATCCCAGGAGACCTTGGCTCTACCAGGTCCGGATGCGCAGCGGAGACTGGCACAAAGGAAATGCATCGCAAATCGCAGGCCAGGGCTGGCTGCCTGCTCAGCCAGGGGCACGTGGGAATACACTGGAACAAAGGGCAGGCGGCCATTGGAAGTTCCTGAAGATGGGAGTCTCAAACTCTCTTTTTTCTCCCTCACTGTAGGGCAAGGCAGGAGAGCCAGGCCCACCAGGGGCAGAGGGAGCCCGCGGTCCACCTGTAAGTACAAACCCTGTGCTGTCCCCAGTAGGGTGAGGCCTGCCAGCCACGGGGCCCATGTTCTCGAAGTCCCTGTCCTCAACGCACAGGTGCTTCTGTAAACAATTCCGCTTTCATCCAGCCCTAGCTCTGCCTGTATCTTCAAGATTGCAGCCATTTCTAGCACGTTGTCGAAGCTTTTCTTCATTTCTACCCTCTTTATACTATTTTTAATGTAGTTTTTCCTCTGGATAACTGAAGGAAAAGTGAGTTTGCCTTTTAGTTTTATGTTATTGGAGACAGAGCCTCAGGTAACCAAGGCTGGGAGTCATTATGTAGCTGAGGGTGACCTTCAACTTATGATCTTCTTGCTTCTGCCTCTGAGTACTGGGCTTACAGATACACAGCACCATGCTGGGTTTTATGCAGTCCTGTGGATAGAGTCCCAAGTCTTGTGTATGCAAGGCAAGCGCTCTCCCAGCTGGTCTACATCCCCGGCCTCCGTCTTTTAGCTCCATAACTCAAACTTTTGTCCAGTTGTTTAAGTATTCCTGTTCTAACAGTGTCATTATAATGTTGGTAATATTAAGGAGATAAAATAAAACAAGAATTTACAGAAAAAAGTAGATTCTCATTCTACAACAGGATAAAGCTTTGTTAATATCTTAGTGTATATTTATGATTTATTTTTCCATCTATGAATTGCAACTTTTCTATATTTAAATATGTATCTAGTTATTGCACTGAACATAGATATTAAATAAGCTCTATGTTTTAAGATTTTTATCTTCCTAACTGCTTCACTTTTTATAACGCTGAAATTATTTATACAACTTCTTAATTACTTTGGAAAATAAAGATTTTAACGAAAATCCTAGAATCCAATTATCTATCAAAAAGTAACAGATCAAAATGCTGTTTCTGTTTCCTTAGTGTCGTGTTTTTCTTTCAAAAAAAAATCAATAGATCATCTGGCTAGTGTTCATTCAGGAGGAAATGAAACACAAAAACATCGATGTTTCCTTCCCCTCTCCCTGACTCCCTGCCTGCACCGGGAGGAACCAGGACATGGACAAGGATTGATGGAGAATAAGATGCTGAATCAGCATCTGATTATTTTTTCTCAAACAGACTTTAACTGATAGTCCCATTAAATCCTTTCTGAAGGCATTTTAAAATTTAGGGAATGGCTGCTTACTGTGGAGTGCAATATCAGCCCTCATAACTAAGTGGCTCTAGTGAATAATGGTTTGGTTTCATCAGGGTTACAGCAGTAACAAGGCTCCCTTTCAGCAGGACGGACTCCTTCACTGGGTCCTGACTCAGGGGTAAGACCCATCTCTGCACAGAGGATTCGAAGGCAGGGATGAAAGTATAGAGCCCCAAGCTGTACTAAGGGCCAGTTCCTCTGCTGGCTTGGCTAACAGAGCAAAGGTTTGAAGAACGACAGAAGTTTGGCGAGAGACAGCTGGGCCCTTTACTTTGTATTATTTATTTATTTAATTAATTTATTAATTATTATTATTTAATGTTTATGAGTGTATTGCCTGCATGCACGTAAGTGCACCCATGCCGTCCAATGCCCACAGAGGCCAAAGAGGGCATCAGAATTCCCTGGAACTGGAGTTATGGCAGGGTTTAACCCCCTATGTGGGGGTTGGCTCTCCAGTCCAACTTTGTTATTTATTTGGTGTGACGTTGATTACAAAGGGGTCATTTCTGAACTGCTTCTCCTCTGCAGAGTGGAGCTCATGGCAGCTGCCACTCCTGGAGGGTGGAGGGAGTGTTAAAGCCACCAAGGAAGCATAAAAACCCCAGCCAAGCGTCTGGCAGGAGCAGGGATCCCTGTTGGGGCTTTGGTCCTGAGGGTACAGGACGATAGCCAGTCAGAGTCTCTGCTTTGGGGCCACTTGGCCTTGGGATTCAGCCATTTAAAGAGATTTCCAGCACCCAGGCGGAACCCTGCCCTGTTCTGAAGAGCTGGAGATCTTTGTTTGCTGATTTGGTCTAGACAGCAAGTCTGCAGAGGTGGGGTCCATCCTCACATTCACATTTGGCGGAACCCTGCCCTGTTCTGAAGAGCTGGAGATCTTTGTTTGCTGATTCGGTCTAGACAGCAAGTCTGCAGAGGTGGGGTCCATCCTCACATTCACATTTGATCTAGCCTCACTCTCACATGTGGCTACTGTGTCCTAGTGAAGAGAAGTGAAGCATCCAGGGCCCCGCAGGTGCAGAGTAGAGACTTGGTTCGTTCCCCAGACCATCGCACAGTCAGCCCTGGTCCATAGATGCAGGGGCGCCATGTGCAGGCAGGATAGGGAGGCTGGGCAAGATGCTGTTTGCCTTAGTGCACTCTTCATGCTGATGCTAGGGCTTCTGTGGGCAAAGCACTTTTTCTGAGGTTACAGTGGTTAGAGATGAATCTAAATCTGAGATGACTTAGATCTTTTCCTTCATCTCTCCCCATCAACGACTACCATGTTCTATCTGTTCGCCATCTAGTTGCTGGGCAGACTCTCATTTAACCCCAGTTAAAAGCTTCAGGCCTGGGATCAGAAATGCAGTTACTTAAGTTGGGGTTTGGCCAGACTCCTGGCCACTTGTCTGCCCCTTGGGGATTCTAGAGGGTTCAGATTTGGCCACCTCATCCTGCTGCCGTAGCTGCATCCTCTAGAGGCTAGGGAGGTCATGGGTTTTAATCAGCCATGGTGGGAGGAGGTACACAGTGGCATTTCTAGGTTGTGAGCACAGCACCTTCAAAGACCTCTTTGGATGATGTTCTCCTCTCGTGGTCTAGCCTGAGATTTTATGCTCCCTAATTGAGTCTTTATTAACTTATGGGATCTGGGGATGAAATTAGAGCCCATCAGATGCAATCAGGTGGCACTGGGTCTTGATCCCGAGAGCACTCTTTGACCTCCTTGGGTTGAGGATGGCCCTAGACAGGTGTGCTCTGTATCAGATGGGCCTGTGTGTGAATCATGATACCACATCACTACCTAAGTGACAAACCATCCTGAGCTCTGGTTTCCTTATAAAATGGGGTAAACAGAACCCATCTTCAGGGCTTATCTTCAGGGCTTAGAGACCATGAAATAAGCATGTGACAGATGCGGTATTGTGTAAGGTGCAGACCTCCCCTCTTCCCTGCTTTCTGCCTCTGCTTCCTATTTTTCTTCCACCTGTCCCTGGCACAGAGCCAGGCTCAATACCCTACAATTGGTGGCAAACGAGAGGAGACAGGGTAAGCTGTAGCCAGAGGATAGGATGGAATGCAGCATTTCCCCATATCCCTACCCTTCCCTGCCCTCTACCTGCTCGTTGCTGGTGTAACTTTACTATTTCTTCCAGGGCTTCAAGGGACACACAGGTGATTCTGGCCTGCCGGGTCCTCGGGTAAGTGGATGGCTCACTTTTGAGGGCAGCTCAGGTATCCCAGAGCTGAGACTTGTGAAGAGAAGATTCCAGGGCTTCAGGCAGGGCAGTGCCTTGTTACTCAGAAAAGGACAGTGGACGCTCTAGCATGATGGCACAGTAGGCAGCATCATCCCACCTTTTAGTCTGAATCCTCTAGATGGTTCTTCTGAGGTGACAGTGGCATGTGGCCAAATTGGCCAAAACAGCCTGGACTCAGGTCACCTTGACTGTATCAGTTGTGTGTGGCCCCTGAGCCCTGTGTCGAGGAATAAACTGAGACCCAGTGTATGTGTGTGATTCTCCCAGTATCCTAGAGCTTGTATGTGGACACATAGGCCTTCTCAAGAGGAGAAGACCCCAGAGCCCTTTTCTTACTCTTTTACTCCTCTCTCTTCCTAGTACCCCAAATGGAAGAGACGGTGGGGGTGGGTGATGAGATTCCTTGACTGTTGTGGATGGCCAGGATGGAGGAGGCCTGTAGCCAGGAGATAGCAGGGCCTCAGGAAGACCCTCCTGACCCTTCAGCTGCTGGTCTTCCTGTCTTCCTTGCCGGGGAGGCACTCAAGGCTTCACACACTCTGTACTGTGACCCCAAGTTCTGCCCCAGACGCTCCCCTGCCCTGCAGGGGAAACTTCCTGCTTGACAGCCCTCTGGGTCTCTGCATCTGTCCATAGTCTCTGGGTGCTTTGGGTTTGAAGCAACTTGTAGTGGAAGCATCTCTGCCTCTAACTGCAGCCCTTTGTTCCTAGGGAGAGCCTGGTGCCACAGGGCCCCCTGGACCAGAAGGATCACCAGGAAAAAATGTAAGTAAGGTGCTGTGGATTGCTGGGGTTGAGGGAACAAGGGAGAAGCACCTAGGAGCCTGACCCCAGTGGTAGGAGGCCGTGCTGTGAAGGTACATAGGGGGTTGTCACAGAATCGGTGCTCGTAGAGGAGGCTTGGAGTTTTCCATTCAGGGGTCTGCCTACACATCACAGTTGATAGGTGGCTTTTCTGAATTCATCTGATTTATCTAGTATATCAATGATGGGCCCATCAGATCCACCTTACATAGATTTGAGAGGCATTTCATGGTTTCTCCCAGATTGTCTTTCCATCTCTCGATCTTTTCAGTGCTCAAAGCAATCCTTAGTCTCATATCTTCCTCACTCTGTCC